CGTAGAATTCAGTAATAACGCATTCACCACTTCGTTATATATATATATATATATATATATATATATATATATATATATATATATATATATAAAACACCAGCAGAAACTATTGCCAACTTAATTTTAAGAGTGAATGCCCATTAAGATATAAAATAGCAGTTATAAAAATTTTCATAAAATGAACACATGAGAATATATCCTCTCGTCTCATACTTATTATACTGATCCTTTCCAGTTGTCTAATCAGTTTCTTGATGTCAAGATGAAAATCAGAGAAAATATGAAATTCATAAGAAATACATGGGTTAGAAAACTACGGTGCCTTCCTTGATGAGTAGACACGATATGTCTATTATCCAATGTAACACAGATCCCCCCACACATATAATTGTTCCTTGCTAGCCCAATCATCGACGGCTCTCAAGGGTTCCATCTCACTAATCTCACTCACAAGGCTTGGGTCAAGCCGTGGTGAGGTTTTAAACCACGTTGAAATGCCCAAATGATTTTCTAAGCGTAGCTTAGGTCGAAAGTGCGGATCAGTAGTAAATTGATCTCGCGAGACAAGCTTGCTAGTCATTACACCACGTCGAGGTGCCTAAATGATTTTCTAAGCGTCGTAAATTGCTCTAGCGAGATAGGCTTGTTAGCCATTACACCACGTCGACATGAAATATATGAAGGAAAAATGAACCAGGTTGCGTTGGATAAACCGAAACGTAATCTGGCCCAAGGCCAGTTTTTTCTTATTTTCAATGCGGTGTTTAATGTTTAAATTCAGATTAAGTAAACGCTGCCTGCTTTTCAGAACATGACTTAATTATGCAGTCGACTGTGCCATTAAAATATTTGGAGAAATCTATATAAAAAAAAGAAGAGTTGATTGTCTGTCTGTCACGTATTGTCTACGTGTAACTTTCCATGTATATATCTAATGAGTGCGTTATATGTAAGTAACTTAATTAAATTCAATTAAAGATATACATAAGCACACACACACACACACACACACACACACACACACACACACACACACAGAGAGCTTAAAATTAGAATAACATACCCCACGATAAATTTGGACAACCTCTATCCTGGGCTGAGCAATAAAAGCAAAGTTATGGACATTTAAAAAAAAAAAACAATTTGATAATTATTAATTTCATTGAACTTTTTATTTTTCATTATTTTTTAATCATTTCAACCCATGCAAGGCAGTAAAGTCACTAAGACACAAAAAGGGTTACTGAGTGTGAAAGAAAAACAAAAGAGAAATATTATTAAAGGGTCGAGAAGAAGAAACGAAGAGTAATCCAGAAGATAATGATAGACATCACATTTAAATTTTTGAATATCAAAATTGGCTGGAAAGCATAGAACCGGAAGAAAGTTCCACAAGCGAGAAGTGCGATAAAAGAAACTTAGCATAGAAGTTACGGTAAGGCAGGTGAGTTCTACCCCTGAATCCCCGATCGGAGGTGTCCCAAGTCTAAGTGGGGACACAGGGCAGTGCTTAGTGACCCTCGCTATCTTAACATTTTCATTTTTTCTACCTAGATTTATATACGTTACAAATTAAACTCAGAGTAACTGACGATTAAAGGAATGAAAATTTTAACGTCATTCTGGGATCTTTTTTTTCTTTCGTCCAAATCCGTGAATTTCTTTTGCTCATGCTAAATCTAAAAAAAAAAAAAAACACTCTATAAATTTCACTATTTTTTTTTTTTATCCATAATCTTAAATTATTTAACTTTTTAACAAGAAAAGTCTCAAGTTGATTTTAAAAGTTGCCACAACACATTGTTGATTTATTTAAGATGGAATGATCTATTAAATTATGACATCTCGCTAATAGGTATTTACATTGTATTTATTTTAAATTTTCTAGTTGAATTGTTCACCTACATTGTACGTAATCCATTATTGTAGATAATTTTTATTTTATATGAACACTACCTTATGAAAATCGAGATGTCGTAGAGGGCGGGGGGACGTATCAAAGATTCAGAGGGAACGACGTGACCCTTGCACCACTCCTTCTTACGGTTACATCTAGCCAATTCAACTGTGAATCGATGAGACCTTACGGACAATCTAGTACCGAGCTTATTAAATTTTACTTTCATTATTTTGCAGAAATATTTAAATGTCTACTATTGAATAAAATATACATGTGCATGTGTAAACGCACGGATGCATAGAATAAAAAAAAATGAACATTTGTGTAGCGTGGTCTAATTTCCCTTTCCAGCTAATAACAACCCTGGGTAACAGGAAAAGGATATGAACCCAAATATACAACCCTTTGAAATTATATTTTATGATTTTAAATTGATTATATCTATCTATAAAAGGCAGAATGTGTGTGTGTGTGTAACGAATGCACGACTGCAATTTTCGACAGATTTACATCAAAATTTACATGCACAAAGTTAGTGGGAAGGCCAAGACCGACTTTGCATTTCCCAACTCCCATCGATAGTGGAAATAATCGATTTTTTCATGCTTCTACGGCAGTTTTCATGTAGTTTGCGGCCATTTTGTACTGGCCAGAGTGAGAGCCTATAGCTGGCTGCCTTGCATAGGCAGGAAGATTCTATTGGCCAGCGTGAGAGCCAACAGTTGACTGACACGAATGTTAACTAGCATGCTAAAAAAATCGATAGCTGCATTCGTCACAAGTGGGAAGAATTTAAATCTGCATGGCACTTTACTCCAATTGGCTCATTCGCTTGCTTAAACTCAACGTTGGTTCTGATTCTGCAGAACTGGGTTGGGTGTGAAAAAGTATTTTTTTCATTCGGCTTTTCCAGTTACGAGTCCTTTTTTTTTTTTTTTTTTAAAGCTGATCGTTTTGTGTTCATTTTGTTTAGTTCTTTTTTCGTAACAGATTTAATGTTTAGTATAGAGCTTAGAAAAAATTCGCAGTGTGAGATAGGCAAGAAGTAAGGCATGTAGCAACATCAGCATGGTAAAGGGCACTCCTTTAAAGGCAAGGAAGGGCAAAAATATTTTAAGTCAAGTGATAGCGATTGCTGTACGAGTCGTACGATTTTTGAATCAAGCACGGGCAACGCCGGGCCATGCTGCTAGTTTTCTAATAAATATAGCATTTTAAATGGATTTTAGATTTGAGAGTTGATTATCTTGCCATCAGCAAAGGGAGAGGAGCTGATTTAGTTAAAGAAAAATAGTTATATGACTGTGGTGCATCTAGACTGTTCAAGTGTTTCTTGTTTTCGATTCAGTCAATTGTATAAGGTCTTCCAATTCTATATAGGAGTTCACTATCGTGCTTCACAGTTTTTGGTATTCTGCTAAACTGGGCTAATGTAGATGTTTTTTTTCTTTTTTAAGTGAGAAAAAAGCTTTGGTTTTTTACTCTAGAAAGGAAAAACAAAAAGAAAAAGTAAAGTAAAAACTAAAAAAGAAATCTCTACATTTTTAAGACGTTATTTTGTTGAAATTTGTGTAGCACGTAAGCAGAAAAGAAGGCTTGGAAAATTTGACACCCACAGGACATATCGAAGGCGAGCAGGACGGAACCAACTAGTAGTCTACCTAAACGTGTTTGTGTAAATAAATGGATGGCCAACATGGACTGGGAGCCATAGTTAGAAGATAAACATTGCTAAGAGCTACAAAAGATAAGAGTAAGACATTGTGGAGAGCTATGATCGGCCACGTCCTGAAGGGACATGACAGACAGAAGAAGAACAAAGTTTTAACCCTTTTCCACCAATTCTTTTGGGAAAAACGGTTTAGACCGTTTTTTTTTTTTTTTATTTGTTTTTAAATATAGAAACAAAGAAACTGAGACACCTTGAAGTAATCGAGCGGTGACATCAAAAGATTCAAGATCGACATAAACACGTCTGTTTATTTTATTTTATTTTTTTAACGTTTTTAGACGGGTCAAAAAATTTTCGGTGTAAACGTATATATACGTCTACGTCGGGGAAGGAGTTTAACAACTTTTTTTTTAATTTTTTTTTTTTTTTATAGTTACTTTTTTTTTTTTCAGGACGAAAAATAATCATTTTTATTTTTTGCTCTAGAATTGGTTATTTGAAAAACATATACAGACACACACAACCACCATCACCCAAGGGTTAAACAAAGTAAAACGAAGCATTAAAAGAAAAAAAAAAAAAAAAGCAAATAAAAACTTTTTTGTAATAATCGTCTAGGTACAAATCCTCGCTGAACACAAACGAAAGTTTACTTTAGATAGTACAAATAAATAAATAAATAAAAAATAAAATAAAATAATAATTTAATTTTTTTGACCTTAAGCTAAAAAGTGTTTTCCCCGTCGACATGCATAAAAAAAGTTTAAGCTTTTTATTTCAGTCCGTAAAAGACGGAGGGGGAGAAAAGACTTTCATTACTACTAAAAAAAAAAAAAATTAACATGAAAAAAACGAAAGAAAAATGAATACAGTCTCTACTTTAAGAAGAGTAACGATTTTCATCATTAAATTTACTTGTTAACAATCATAAAGAAAGTCAACAAAATTTACATCATAAAGAAAGTTAAGAAAATTTAGAACATACAACAAGAAAAAACGAAAACATGAAAACGATAAACAAGAGAAACAGATGTTCTTAAAACTTAAAAGTATAAAAATTAAAAAAGCCCCGCCTTTAATATAAATTATTATTATTATTATTAGAATTTTTTCTTTTCATAGGGTCGCTAGAACATAAAGACTAATAATAAAAAATATTTTAAAATCTTTTTTCTCTGGGGCGACATACGTGATAAAAAAAAGTACACTTCATTGTTTAACCACATTAATTTTTACTTGTATTTAAACTCGAACGAAAGGTCGAGGTTAAAGTGGGGATCCCGATATGAGACTAATGAAAAAAAAAATCTCCTTTGGTTAGGGAAAGTTACTAAGTAAAAAACACCATTCGAGGAGACGCCCCTAAGAAATGAATACTTCATTTGTTGGCTGGGGTTTTCATGCTTACACGAGGTAAATATTACTTACTTGTTGTTGTCCATTAGCTTGAATCAACAAGGAAAATACCAAAATAGTCACATAAACAAAAGTAAAACGATTCATGACTAGTGCTTGTTGCATCTGCTGCTACTAAATTTCATGGGAGAAATAAAAAGTTGCTGTGAGTATATTTATTTTAAATACACTGCAGTGAGTCCAGTTCGTGGATATTGCAAAATAAATGTGTCCACCGGCTGTTTACATATTTATAACGGCGACGGAAATTTTATTATCGTTTTTTTAGCCAATTTCAGCATGGATCCGTGATTGTTTGTTTTCATAAAAAAAAAAAAGTTAGTGAATAGGTCATGTGATAATATCCGGATCTAATTCAGAATGTAGAGAGAGAAAAAAAGAAAGAAAGACTATAAAGAAAGAGCTAATTTAAATACTTTTTTGTACATTTTGTGATTTCACATAAAAGTGTATGTTGTAAATGGTTAGCAAACAGGTCTAAGACCCCGAGGCGGTGTAAATGGTTAACAAGCTTGTCTCGCTAGAACAATTACGACTGAGTAGTAAGTTCGATCCTCACTGGGTGCCACTACTTTCGGCCTTGTACCACATCTAGGCTCTGCTTGGAAAATCACTTTGGGCACTTCGATGTGGTGTAATGGTTAGCAAGCTTGTCTCGCTAGAACAATTGCGACTGAGTAGTGAGCTTGATCGTCACTGGGTGCCCCATACTCACGGCCATATGCCACATCTGAGCTACTCTTGGAAAATCACTTGGAACAGTCGACCAGATTGTTCACTGTTCGAACTCTCTGCCTCGGCAGAGAGGAACTCGGACGAAGCTTTGCTGAAGGGCAAAGTTTCGTCCTAGGAGGTAGACAGTCCCTGAACCCGTCTAGGCGTGTTCAAAGGGAATATTTTTGGCCAAGCCTACGGGCTCGGAGAAACCCACGTTAAACTCGGGCTTGTGCCACATACATTCCTTGTGGGGGGACTGTTAAATATAACAGGTCTAAGACTAAGAGTTTGACTCTAACCGGGCTGGGAGTTCCATTGTCGCCTTGGTGATCTTCAAAGCGTAGCTTAGATGAGGCACAAGGCCAAAAGTATACAGCCGATCGAATTCACTTATTCAGTCCAAATTCTTCGAGCGAGACAAACATGCTGAACATTACACCACAGTCGAGGTGCCCCAGAGTCGCTTAGAAGTGGCGCAAGGCCGAAAGCATGGAGCACCTAGTGAGGATCGAACTCACTACTCAGTCGAAATTGTTGGAGCGAGACAAGATTTCTAGCCATTACAACCACATCGAGCTGCCTTTATCAGAGTAACTTTGATGTGACACAAGGCCGAATCTGTGGGACACCCCGTGCGGATCTTACTCACTACTCAGTCGTAATTGTTCGAGCGAGACAAAAACGCTGAACATTACACCACGTCGAAGTGCCCTAGAGTCACTTAGATGTGGCATAAGGCCAAAAGTATGGAGCACCTAGTGAGGATCGAACTCACTACTCAGTCGAAATTGTCCGAGTGAGACAAGCTTGCTAGCCATTACAACCACGTCAAGGTGCTTTAGCTTAGACGTGGCACGAGATCAAAAGTATGACGCACCTAGTGAGGATCGAACTCACTACTCAGTCGTAACCATTACAACCACGTCGAGGTGCCCTAGAGTAACTTAGATGTGGCACAAGGCCGAAAGTGTGAGGCACCTAATGCGGATCGTAATTGTTCGAGCGAGACAAGCTTGCTTAGCCATTACATCACGTCGAGATAGCCAAGATGTTTTTCTAAAGGTAGCGTAGATGTGGCACAAGGCCGAAAATATGGAGTATCCTGTGAGGATCATACTCACTACTCAGTCATAATTGTTCGAGCGAGACAAACATGCTAACTATTACACCACGTCGAAGTGCCCATCCCACTGCGGTCATGTGTTGAAACTTTGTCAAACTTGTGTGTAAAAAGTTACAAAATGGCCGTTTATACTTCTTATTCTTTTTGCTGTGTTCTGATTGTGACTCTCTACGATTTCCTGTTCTTTGAAGCTATTAGTAAGATTTGAATTTTTTCTATCTCTCCTAATACTTATTCTACAAACCTATATATATATATATATATATATATATATATATATATATATATAGATATAGATATAGATATTGATAATATTAGTGTCAATATATATATATATATATATATATATATATATATATATTGATCAATATCTATCTATCTATCTATCTATCTATCTATCTATCTATCTATCTATCCCAATACTTATTCTACCAACCTATATATATATATAGATAGATAGATAGATAGAATATAGAAATAGATATTGATAATATTAGTGGTCAATATATATATATATATATATATATATATATATATATATATATATATATATATATATATTATTTTCCCAGAGGATAGAATCCAGGTAGAACTCAATGTCCGGGACAGAGTAAGAATATAATATAAAAGGCTCTAACTCTAATATTCCATGGTTATAATTTATTACATTGGAATCGTAATCACGAGCCATTTCATCAGACTTACAAATTCAAAAACCTTATATATATATATATATATATATATATATATATATATATATATATATATATATATATATAAAAAAGGCTTAAACACTAATATTCCATGGTCGTAATTTATTCCATTGGAATCGTAAATACGATCCAATTCATCAGACCTACAAATTCAAAATGAAAACAGAAAAAACCACTCCAGAAGTGAAAACAGAATTTAGAGAAAGTGTATGTGGATGTATATACATGTATATGTTATTGTGTGTATTCACATGTGTCTTTGAACATAGAAATATAGGTCCTTGCTGGATTAGACAATCGTTATATTTATCTTCATATATTTATATTTGATTTGTAACCTGTAGTCGATATTAAATTTGTGAAATTTTCTCAATTACAAAGCGGCCCTTTAAGTAAACGCAGTTTTTACTTTCCTTGGTCCCATCTCTCCCCTACCTCCTCTTTCCCTTCCCTCCCTATTATTCTAGCATTAAATTGTCGATGGTGTGTGTGTCACACCACAGAAATGTATCTTTATGCATTAGACATCCGTCGACATTCATTCTCTTCTCTTATCTAAAACCCTCCCCACCACCTCTCCTAAAATTCTCTCTGTTAAGATTCAATCTCCCCCCTCCTCATATTTACACTTTATATATATAAATATATATATTTGTGTGTGTGTGTATGTGTGTGTGTGTGTGTGTGTGTGTGGTAATATTAACCATTTTCTTATAAGGAAACATTCGGCATTAATTGACCAAACGGCCAGGGCTGTTCTCAGTTAAAATTAATAAAATCTTTCTCTTAAAACAAATATCCATAAAAATAAGTTTCTCAAATCTCGTAGCTGGTATCGATCTTTCCAGTTTTGATGGAGATTTCCTTCCTAACCTTTTATTTGAAGTCATGTGGAATGTCAGGTTCTTGATGATGTCATTATTTTCTCTTCCATGTGCTATTCATTTTAGTTGTTGCTGCTGTCGAATGTCCCTGAGTGATGTGGTTTCTGTTATTTGGTACAGTTCTTTGTGATTGTTTAACGCTACAAGGTTCGAAGATATTCAGAGCACAACCGTCTGCTAGGGCGGCTACGCAGTCCGTATTGCAGACGTCTGCTCAGGCAGATTTGTGATTGTTCGACACCCACAGAACCCACAGTTTCTGGGAGAGAGCTCATAATCTGGTGGGGTCAACGATTTGAAATAGACCAGCGCACTTAAACTCTCGGTCACGATGACTTGTGACTTATATGTATATGTTGCGACTTGCACACCATTTATTGTAGTAGTATAGCAAAAAGTAATCTTTGATGATGGCTAACAGTTTAGCCGAAAGTGTTCGAACTTAAGGCAAAAGACTACTATTTTGCACTTTCTTTCAAACAGAAGTGTTGTGGATTCCGGGATGAAATCCGGTCTCAAATGAATGACAAACGCAGGAATGAAATATAGCAAATAAATGTATTGACGTAATAATGCAATTGGTAATACGGTTAGTAGATCCAGAAATGCGTTTAGTAGCAATAATAATATATATACAGTCTGAGAAATTCAGTATCGAAGTATGACTTCCTTCTGACTCTACGTGCTCGCAACTGTGACTCCTACAAAGCGGTTACCTCACACTCTCACTCTATCACTGTATCATTGTATCACCATCTGACTTCCGGGTATTCACCGGCAGCAGTACAAGTACACACTAGGCGAGTCCACTTGTATGAAAAAGGGGTGGACCCCTTAACAAGAAGTAAAAGCTGTTGAACAGTTATTTTGAGCCTTGGATTTTTGTTCATTTCAATCTCTCTGCCGAGTACAAACACACACACACAACCGGAAAAAATTCCCACAATTTATTTATTGTAGTACATTTATTAGTAATTAAGAAGATAGAAGATAACGATTGATATTGCATTTAAATTTTTGAAGATCAAAGTCAAATGGAAAGCAAGCAGCCGGAAGAGAGTTCCACAAGAGAGAATTACGAGAGAAGAAACTGTTAACCTAGAACTTACGGTTGCATCTAGCCAATTCAACTGGAAATTAATGAGACCTTGCCGCCAATTTAGTACTGCATTAAAATTAATAAAATCTAAATACCATAAAGGAAAATCCATCAGAATAATTACTATAAATGGATTTATAAATTAGAGACAGGCAAGTGGCTGAAGGCGATATACCAGGTCAGGACCAATAACATTGCAGATTCTTCCTTGTATTTCATCAAGAATCTCTAAATATATAGCAGGAGCAGTAGACCAAAAGTAAGAATGGTGGACTTATAAATATGTAAGATGGATTCTGGCGAGAAAAAATTGTTTAGCATGATCCAGTGAACCAACTTTCCAAACAGCAGAAATATTATATAGAATTTTTTTTAAGCATTTCACCCCAGGCAAGGCGGGACTGCCACTAGCACGCAAGGAGTTACAGTAGGTAAGAGCAAGAGTAAAGAGGCGTGTTTGAGGAAAGGATAAAAAGAAGGAATGGGAACAAGGCGTCAGACGATGTCGACTGACATTACACTTGAATATTTGAAGATTATAGTTATCAGGG